GACAGACATTGGTTTCAAAATGTCCAAAAGACCACAGAAAGTATTATTACCAGACATAAGATTTTTCAAGGTATTGCTTATTGTTCCATTGTTTTTTTCTGTGAATTCAAACGGAAAGGAGAAAATACAACAATACCTGTCTGTTAAAACCTTGTTCACCAAAAGACGAAAGTTTTATGGTAAGATGAACATTCTCAAACGTTCTCGTTATAAAAAGAGAAATAAATTGAACTGTGAAACCAGTTATTTTTCTAAACAAAAAATCATTAATTGTGCCTAGGGAATTAGTTTTTTACGACAACAGCTTAAACAGAAATTCCGCACTGCTCCATCACCTCGGTTTTATTCTCAGGATTGACCTACAAACGAATCCCAATCATGAATGCTTTGTAGTGATTTTTTGATGGATCTTCTTCGTTCTGCCGACTGGACGATGTGACACAATCTGGTTTTGGGCTTGGAATTGCATTCACGCGTTTTTCGCCTACAAATACCGACTTCCCATTACTTTCTTGTCGATATAATTCATATACTTTTGTAGCAACCAACGGTGCAACGGTTGCTCTGATGTGTAGGCGCGCGAGCACGTACACCCATCATCGGAGAGGGCCTAAAGAAAACAATCGAAGGAACTGGACAATTACCAGTTGATTGGTCTCCAATTACGGTCGACTGTTCGGATAGCAGCGAACAATGTGGACAAGTTGACAATTCATAATTACCAATTTAAGTTCCTCGGTTGTTTTTACAGCGGGCGCTGTTGTTAAAATTCTTGCCTACAGTTCATTGTTCCTAATGACAATTTGTCGGCTTTTTTTCGGCTGATTAAATTGACTGTGAGACTTCCAATTTTTTTTGTTGACATTATTGCATTTTCTACTGCTGGTGAATAAATTTTCATATTGATAAAAATGTTTAGATAGGTTGAATATGATGTAGAAATAAGTTTAAGATTAGTTACGATGAGACAATACATTACGTTAAGTGAATTTCAAAACTGGGGGAGAGGGGTTAAGATCGTCATTTAAAATGACAAATAAATTTGTAATCCACCACTCGAAGGCTTTGTATAGATACAACAACCTAACGTCTATGAGATATCATCTCTACATCTTTTTTGTTGCTAAATATAACTCTACTACTTAATTAATTTCATCATTATTGATATTTTGGGTTTCATTGTCAGTCTTGTGTTGTTCATGGACTTTTCCAGGGCAGAATTGAATGAATATTGATGGATTTGAATGGTGCCTTCATGTAGGTAGTCTTATGTTTCTAATCCTAAGATGTATTGGTTGTAAAATGAAATAGTACATGTTTTATAAAGTAGAAACATTGGGATTTAAGAACGTTGTTTGCATTTTTGATAATGACCAGCTGGTATTGAAACAATTGCCGACTATTTAAATGTATTTATTTATACTTTTGGGCTTATGTACAGCGTGTGATTAGTTTTTGGGATGATTAGTCTAGCATGGATGAGAAAAGACAGTTAGTCAAATCGGATTTTTCGTTGGATATTTAACAATTACTTTTCAATTCTTACCATGTTTTTGAAGTATGAAATTTTTTTAGCGATAATGGTTATTTCATTTGTTTCGAAGTAATGTTCTAGTTAGGCTGATTGTCTAGGGTGTTTTTGTCTAATTTTGTTTTAGTGTTATTTAACTTTTTGGTGCATAGAGAAGGTTAAAAATGAAGAGATATTAGAAGGAATAGGAGAACAGAGGACTTTATGGAAGCCAATAAAAAATAGGACACCTTCTCAAGTATGAAGGTCTAGTCAGAGACATATTAGAGGCAGAAACAGGAGTTAGAAGGGGAGAGGTAAACCTAGATTAGATTAATCATCGCAAATAGTTAAGGATGTGGGATGTTTAAGGGAAATGCGAAAATTAGCTCAGGATGGGAAAGAGTGGAAGTGCGTGCCCGACCAGTCTTAGGACTGACGACCTTATGATGATGATGATGAACTCTTTGGATAATTGTCTTTTCCTGTTTCTTCTACACTAGTGGTGAGATAAGAACCAAGCAAAGGGAACTTCTATTTTACATGCAATCATCAAAGGCCGGAACAACAAGAAAATTCAGACTGGTTGGACACGTACCTCCACTGCTTCCTATCCTGAGTTAATCTTCGCATTTCCCTAAAACTAGAACAACCCAACTATTTGCGAACAGTAATTTAATCTAGGTCTACCCCTACCTCTCCTAACTTCCGTTTCTGCCTCCAACTTCATCAAAGGTCCAAAAACCGTCATTTTCTCTGTTATGTAAATGAATTTACTTACGGCTTTTACTCAAATTACAATATTTATTTCCATCGTTCCACACAATATTTCGATTTGGAATTGAATGCATTCAAATGAATGTATGTTTATTTTGATTGTTCATCACAGAATTTGAGGAAATATACGAATTAAGTGTCATTACTAAAATTGTACGACATTAAGGAACACATATTGTGAATTCTATATAAGGGTAAAGTTAATGCCTGTTGGTTGTGTTTCTTTTTAAGTAATTGCAGGTTTAGGAACAAGTATGACATTATATGTAACTGTTTTGTTATTGCCTGGTCTAGAAACGTCCAATTGAGAAAATGTCCCAAATGGCCACTTGATTACAAAGAAAACAAACCGCACATGCTATTAAGTCGATTTTTGGGTCGTTATGTATATTTTAGTTAATTTCCTCCATTCTTTTCTGCCTTTTTTTCGTGTTCCTATTCCATAATTCGTTTTAATTGGGCTTGTTGCATGTCTACCGACAATGACACTGGTCTCTATTCAATTCTTCTTCCTGGACGAAAGTGGCACTTTTAGTGTTGGGTCATCGTCCCGTGAATCCTCGTCTAAATGGTTAAAAAATTGGTACCTGGCCAGCAGTCCTAGCACACACATAAACATATGTATACAGTAGACATGTACACATATTACGTATTATACTTTTTTGATAACGCAAATTACAATGCGGTCGAGGCGGTGCAAGCGCGCCGACCCCAGCCACAAAAATTTTTAGATGAAAATAATTATAGGTATATACGGGGAGTCGGTTGGCCTTGTGACGCCAATCAAACGCGGCTCTAGGCGGTCCAACCTGTGTTTCAGATAATGAGTTTATAAACGACTCATAAATCTTCGAAGCCTCCACGAACGAAATAAAAGAAAATACGGACGTGGAATTTTCGAAATTACAGTCACGCTCCTTTTACACAGGCAACTCCACTTACCAATGGGATCGCTCTCTTATTACTTGCCAACAACACGGAAGTTTTGGGCCTTTTTCCCAGAATTCGTTCTTAGCCGAATAAACATAATGACCAAAATAACATTTTGTTCGTATCTAGATGATTCTGTAGTGCGGAAGTCTTGTTTCAATGTTGGCATTATTATATTATATGACATTTACGTACTGCGTTCAGGTTTCTACCAAGAATTTTGTTCTGTGAAGATGATCTTAATCATTGAAAAACAAATACAGGTTTCATTTTAAAGTCACTGCAATTTTCTGGTTATCACCCAATTGTTTCTTAGTGTATAGAGATATAGATAATACTCGAGAGAAGATACTGCGTTCATGAGTGGTGTATTTTACTTCTGATTTAGCAGGTAGTGATATACCCTACTAGTACTACTATATTTTATTAATACTTTGATGGTTTATAGCTACTGATGTTTCGTTACTGTTACTGTTACAAATTTAACTGAAGAGAACCTAAAAAATTCTACTCTTTGGAAATGGATAATGTAAAATTGATATTGGTTTCCGAGTTCAATGTCATGGTCCGTAGAATTTTGAAGTTCCAAATTGATATCAGCACCTGCTAAATTACCACTTATCGTACTTTTAGCAAGGAACTACGAAATTCTATGAATTACAACAAAACATCCTGCAAAACAATATTGAATTGATATACGCCGACTGTGGAAAACTGAAAACTACAAAATATTGCGGTATGCTAATAAACGCGTATAATCCAAAATTCTTAGAAAACGATTCGAAAAACTTCACTTATTAGATGAACCCAAAGCTAAAGAAACTATGGATTACATTTCTTTCTCTTATTACAATGTGTAAAAGATCAAAAACAAAATGGGGTTGTAAATATTTTGATATAAAAAAATTGATGTTGATTTTACATTAATAAAATTATTTGCAACCCTATTTTGGCGTTGATCTTTCACGGCAAAGAAACTATTTTGGCATCAGTGTCTTTTTTTCAATTAAAACGGGTGGCAAATGCAAATAAGGAAGCATATACTGTAGAACTGAAGAAGCTACAGCGTAAAGATCGAAGAACTATGTCTCAATCACTTCAAACTGAAAAATATGAATCATACATAATCTTCTCACCTGGTGATATAGTGCAAACACTACTATTGGTCTAGAAAAACTCCAATATTTTTCTTAAAAAATGTTTTATGTTCCATTTAAAATAACGATGTTAGGTAGCGTCCAGAAGAAATGGAACATCCTGTACGACTAAAAATAATAAACTTAATATCTTAAAATCAGATCAAAACAGAACTTACCTATACATATTTTTATGGTGTAATAGATTTTCGCAATTTAAACTTTACCCAATGTAAATTGTATCGAATTTATAAAAAATAGTTTCCATAAGTTTAAATTTTGTCTATGATTGTCATTTATTTATACTTTTGGGCTTATGTACAGCGTGTGATTAGTTTTTGGGATGATTAGTCTAGCATGGATGAGAAAAGACAGTTAGTCAAATCGGATTTTNTTAAAATCAGATCAAAACAGAACTTACCTATACATATTTTTATGGTGTAATAGATTTTCGCAATTTAAACTTTACCCAATGTAAATTGTATCGAATTTATAAAAAATAGTTTCCATAAGTTTAAATTTTGTCTATGATTGTCACACAGATGGATATATTATTCTCAGTCCTCGAATTACGTTGCATCATTTACTCATATTCTTTTGTGTACAAGATAAAGACAACATTTTAATTCAGAGATTTTGCTTCGCAGAGAGGAAGCGAGGTCGTCAAACGTATACCAGATACCAAACGTTGGAATTGGAAAAAGAATTTCACTTCAATCGGTACCTGACGCGAAGAAGAAGGATCGAGATAGCCCACGCACTGTGTCTGACAGAGAGGCAAATAAAGATCTGGTTCCAGAACAGACGTATGAAATGGAAGAAGGAAAACAAGACCAAGGGCGAAGGAGGCTCGGAAACGGGAGGTGACGACATCAGTCCCCAGGGATCCCCCCAGTGAAATCTACCACCGTAACTACTACCACAATAAAAACATAAATGAGAAAAACAAGTACCTAAAACACGTTATAGTCAGTTTTGCATTTATTTTACAATGTCATGCCGTGTGATAATAATAACAAGAAACTCCTTTAAACACGAAGAAGAAACGATAATAATTGATAAGAGAGAACTTTTCTAAATTTTCCCTTCGTAACCACAATGACCTCTTTACGATTAAGTCCCTTACTGTGTATATTTTAAAGTCGGTACTGTAATTTTTGATAGGTGACGATTAGGTGATGATCCATATTATTATAGTTTATTTATTTATATTGTAGATAATATTATATAGACTACCAACGGGCGAAATTGTATTATATAAACTCTCCATTTAATTATTATATTAATTGTAAGTAATTTACGAAGGGCGCTGTTCAATGCAACGCCGTGTTAATGTGCAATCTCGTGCAAATTTTTACTTTCTACTAAAATCATTACCAGAGAGAGATCATTTAAATTTTGACCAACAGATTCGGTTCTCCGTACTATTTATTAAAAGTGCATCTTAGATTGTTTATAACGAAAAAAAAATTTTTTTGAAAACACTCATTGTCAGTTATCTAAAGAAGTAAAAATTTGTGAAAGTATGATCCGGCTTTGCAAGGGCATGGAAGTTAACAATTATTGAAAGGATCTATTGAAGGGTGTCGAGGCCCTTTGACGTCACGTACTTACCCACTGATAAGGCGATTCGAAATTATGACGTAGTTTCAGTGATAAAACGGATCTCTGAAGTTACGTGGAGAAATAGTATTATCTATAAATTGTAGTTCGCCTTACGTGGATTTTCATTGTTTGATAAATTCATTTTGTAAATAATGGGACTTAAAACAGTAAAAACAATAATGATACATCCCTTAGAATACAATGATCGGGACGTGGAAAAAAATAAAAAATAATTTTCTTTTTTAGTTTGTGATTTAGGTACGTGGTACGTTAAATATTTCTAGTATTAATTTTCCAGTATTATTTCTTCATGTCCTACTAGCAAAACATCGGTGGATTTTCCAAAGGTAAGTTAATTGTTAATTTTGCATTTTGTATGAAAACTGGTAGATTTTTCTTCTTTTTTTTTCCATCTTCCAATTAATTTGTATTCTAAGAGATTTAGACGACATTTTCCTCCAAGTCCCTCATTAATTCTCACATTATTATGTTAGGCGTGGAACATTTTTGTACATAAGTCTTTGTGAAAAATAAAGAGGATATACAAATATACGAATATTTAAGAGGAGAGCAGTTCGAAGCCAAAGTTAAACTACATTCTTATCCATGTAGGCTGATAAATACGTATTACCATATAATTTTTCCATTTATTCGGAATTCTAAGAGCATTTTTTATTTCAAGTGCTGTACATAGTGACAAATGTAAGTCTCGTAAATATAATAATAATAATAGTAAATCTAAATACCACAAAACTTCTAGTGATATGAAGAAAACGAAATACGTAAAAATTTGCTACAAATTGAAGTATACGTTAGAAAGTGTATGTTTATACAAAAGAAAATATAACTTTGTAAACGTTTACAGACAATGACTTTTTTTAATTATATTCACGTCAGTACTAGTCTTGGTAAATGACGGATTTGTCTTTTGAGTTAATCAGTATGTGTATGACTCACAATATTATACATAAAAGAAAAGAGATAATTCAAAATCAAGTTGTATATTTTTACCTATGTGGATAAAATAGTGTATAGATTCATATTTGTGCTGTGGTGTAACATTTAGTATAGACTTTATTCATCATCAAAATTACCATTTTTGTTCATTTGTTTCGGCTCTAACTTACTATATTGTTACTAGAAAGTAAAGTTAATTGGCAATCTATTTCAAAACATTTCACGACAATGTATAACTAAAAAGATATAATACGTAACATGTTTAATTGATCCCTTATATTGTCTTGTGGATTTGAAATATTATACGTACATGAAATTAATATATGTATAAAATAAAGATAGTTGTAAATTTATTCTGTTTTTTTTTTGCTGTCAAAAATTAGGTAATCAATTATTTTCCATATTTTTGCCAGCTGATCATATGGTCGTACGTGTTTACTAATGAATAATTTTAATAAACATAACAACATTTTCAAACAGCTATACGGAGATATATGTATAAAAAGTATATATGATTAATTATAACCACATTGAGAACATTCCAAAGAATTTCAGTCGAAAGTATTCCAATTTATCACTTTTTGAGGTGTAATGTAGCTAGAAATTACTGAAAATTCATTGTATACTTCTGAATTTTTATTATAATGAAAGTATTCTCGTTCAATTAAAGCATCTAAATCCTCTTGATTACTTTCTGGTTTGCCTTCACTCAGAAAAGGCTAAAATCTCGATTTGAATTTTTATCAGTGCATTAAATTCAATTAAATATAGTCTACTGTTGAACCATAATTGAAAAAAATAGGAAACAATAAATAGGACGTACGATTACGTTATAAGGATGCAAAAATTGTATTACAAATTTCTCCAATTGTAGACATTTTCATTACACTAGTAGTAAATATGGGGACAGAAATAAGTTCTAGAAAAAGTAAAGATAATATCGTAGTTAATATCTTTCCTACAAGCTGTTTGTTTTTCTACTACAACGTTAATGATAAGTACTGCAAATTCCTCCTACACGTATAGTCGTTTCAATTTACTTTTGCCGGTTTTTGATTATATGTTTAGTAAAAACTGTAAATCTTTTACTTTATTATTTATTATTGGAACATTAAATCTACCAAACCGTCTAGCTACCACAAAGAAGAGAAAGATACCCTTATCTTTCTCGGTTTGTCGCAGGCAACGAACACTGCTGGTACTTCATAAATTTGTCTGTACACCTGTTTATATTTCTCTTCAATACCATCACAGACTTATAGGCAAATTTACGCCTTATTACAAAACGACCTTGTAGAAATATTTTTGTGAATGTGATCCTAAAACATCTGCTCCACAGTCTCGACTGTCTTCCCCTAGTATAGTGTTTAATGCCAGATGAAACATTCCTGGAAGATCGCACGTTATTTTCCTAGATATTAAAATGAGGTGATTTGTGTTAAACAAAAAATTCATGCTTTTTTTAATGAATTAAACAGTTGGTAAGGTAATGTCCGTAATAACACAGGTTTTAATGATATACGGAGTTGTTTTTTCTTGTACAACAAAATCGCCTGAGAGGTTGGTGTTTTGCTTGTGCAAATCGAAAAATAAGAAGTTAATTGAAGGCAACTTTTTAAGTTGGCTCTTGTTGAATTTAAGTGTTATTACCATGATTAAACAAATTTTCTGTGAAGCAGTTTAATGTAGTGTATAGTAAGATCGCCATTTATGTATGTAAATCAAGAAGTATCGCATTTAATGTCTTAATAACAATCAAACCAGTATACCTGCTGATATCATATAATTAAACAGGTGACGCCTATAAATTGATCAATTACTTACTATATTTTATCTGTACTTACACTTGTCCAGATGATTATTTTATTTCAGCTGCATATCAGTTTAACACTTTTTTCTTTCAATGTATAAATCCAGCAACAACTGTAGGGGTAGATATACAGGGACAAACGGTTAGTATATTTTATTCAAGCATTAGCATCTAGCAGGGAGAAGTTAGAAATAGACTTAAATAAAATGCAAGCGCTCTTGAGAAAACAGGAGGCACTGTATGAAAATAAGTAAAAGTAAAACAAAATATTGGTATGCAAGGGAATAAAAAGTACAGAAAGAGCGAATACTTATAAATATAGGAGACGAAAAAATCGAAGGAGTGACTAATTTTCGGTATCCAGGAAGTCAAATATAACTCAGGATGAAAGGAGCAGTAGAGATATAAAATAGAGGATAACGCAGGGTCGAGCGGCATGCCCTAGAGGTTTAGACCATTGCTTAGAATTCGGGAGGACGCTGGTTAGATTCCGGGTCCATCTGCCTCTGTCTAAGTTTTTCTGTGGTTTCCTTGGATCACTGAGCTAAATGCTGGGGCAGTAATATTCCGCAGATAATCTTTCATTCTGTTCTGTATTCATTTCGTCTGTTCTCATCTTTCTCAATCGAACCACCACCCACCCATTCCCACGATTCCTGAAAGGAGGCTGAAAGGTGCCTTTCGTCTTACCTTCCGGCGTAGTCTGGAGGGACTGCCCGCCAACCAGCCTTAGTGACTGGTTTGAATGAAACACTCAAAGTTTTTTTTGCAGGGTCAAATCGACAAAAAGAAGTATTTTAATGTTCGCGAACGGTTAATGTATATCCGGAGTGCGAAACATGGACGATGGGGCAGCGGAAAAAAAAATGTTAGAAGTGTTCGAAATGTGGTGTTACAAGCTAATGATGAGGATACCGTAGATAGTGAAGATTATAAATGAGGAGGTATTAGAAATAATAGTTAAATGAGGTTACTAAATATGGAAGTCATAAGAAATAGACGAGATAGGTTAGTAGGGCACCTTCTCAGGCATGAAGGTCTAGTGTTAGAGGTATACGAGGGTGGATTGATAAGTTTCCGGCCTAACCAAGAGATGACGCCACTAGGCCTACCTTGAGGTGACATTCTATAGTACCATCCTTGGATAGCTTGTAGCTATAGTTTCAGCCCGATCTCCTTGCTAGTGTAGGTTTGACAGCACGCTGAACAAGACGCCTCTGTGGTTTTCGTAAAAATGGAAAAGCAGGAAAATCGTGCTGTCATCAAATACTTTTATTTGAAGGGGTTAACGCCGAAGGAAATTAAAAAAGAGATGGACTCAACACTGGGGACATCCTCCCCGTCATATTCAACCGTTAAGCAGTGGGTTTCCGAGTTTAAAAAGGGTCGTGTGAGCACCTCTGATGGGCCTCGCTCAGGACGCCCCGTTGAGGTCACAACTCCAGATATGATCGAAAAAATTCATCAAATAGTGCTGGGAGACCGCAGATTGAAAGTGCGTGAGATAGCTGAGACCTGTAAGATGTCATATGAACGTGTGCAACATATTTTGCACCAACATTTGCATATGGAAAAGCTCTGTGCAAGATGGGTGCCGCGTTTGCTAACAGTCGACCAAAAATTGATTCGAAAAAACATTTCTACCGCAAATTTGTCATTGTATAAGCGTAATCCAAGCGAATTTTTGCGTCGATTCGTAACCGTTGACGAAACGTGGGTCCACCACTACACTCCTGAAACCAAAGAACAGTCTAAACAGTGGATTGGACCAGGGGAACCAACTCCAAAGAAGGCAAAAACAATTTTTTCGGCGAACAAGGTTATGGCTACTGTTTTTTGGGATGCAAGAGGTATTATATACATTGATTACCTTGCAAAGGGTAATACTATCACTGGTCAATACTACGCAGACTTATTGCAACGTTTGAGCCACGAGGTGAAAATTAAACGACCTCATCTGGCGAAGAAAAAAATCTTGTTTCATCACGATAACGCACCAGCGCACACGTCAATCGTTGCGACGGCTAAAATCAACGATCTAAAGTTTGAATTGATGCCGCACCCTCCTTACTCTCCAGACCTAGCCCCGAGTGACTATTTTCTGTTCCCTAATCTCAAAAAATGGCTTGGCGGTAAGAGATTTGCGGACAATGAAGAAGTAATCGAAGCTGTAAATGGTTATTTTGAGGAGCTTGACGAATCAGTCTATAGAGATGGCATTAATAGACTGGAACACCGCTATGAGAAATGTATCAGCCTTGGAGGAGATTATGTTGAGAAATAAAAAAAAAAAATTTTTAAAAACCTTGTTTTTCTTGGTCAGGCCGGAAACTTATCAATCCACCCTCGTATTAGAAGCAGAAACAGGGAGTTATGATTGGTAGACGTAGACCTAAATTACTGTTCACAAATAGTTAAGGATGTGGGATGTTTTACTGTTAGGGAAATGCGAAGATTAGCTCAGGATAGGAAAAAGTGGAAGTGCTTGTCCATGCGGTCTTAGGACTGGCGACCTAATGATAATGCCAATATATAAATCCAGCTTAAGTGAAATCGGATACCTACTTAAGCAATTAATTTTTTGTTCGAAAATATTAAATTGTACAGGGTGACTTTCAACAACTGGAAGGTTACTGGTAAACTTTGTAGGATCACTCTGTACATAAAATGAGCGAAATGGGAAAATATATTTTCTATTCAAAGAGAATTTTTAAAGAAGTTCATTGTTAGAAATTACCTTAGGTTACTAAAAAATTCAAGAGACAAATTACAACGCAGGTAAATTGACGTCAATCGTTCCACCTGCTTGGTAAAAAAAAGTCGGTACGTGATAGCCAGCTTGTGTATTATGCAAGTGGTAAAACGTTGTGTCATCAA